AAAACAGCCACGAACTGAAATGGCAGCAGAGTCCAGAGAGGAGGGAAACAGACGGGCCCAGCAGCGGTTGCCACGGCGACGGTAATTTCACCGCGATGCTTGCCACTTGATGAAGCGAGTGCGTGAAAATGAGCGCCATTATCCTGTCATTAGGCAAACCTGAGTCTTCTCCGTGCCACTTATCCGGAGGCAGCAGTCGCACACCAGCGCAACGTCAGCAGAGTGCAGAGAGGAGGGAAACAGACGGGCCCAGCAGCGGTTGCCACGGCGACGGTAATTTCACCGCGATGCTTGCCACTTGATGAAGCGAGTGCGTGAAAATGAGCGCCATTATCCTGTCATTAGGCAAACCTGAGTCTTCTCCGTGCCACTTATCCGGAGGCAGCAGTCGCACAAAAGTGCAACGCGATATCCCGGGGAGGAAAGATGGCAGAGGAAGCATGGCAGAGGAGGGATGGCAGAGGAGGGATGGCAGAGGAGGGATGACAGAAGAAGGATGACAGAGGAGGGATGGTGGAGGAGAGATGGCAGAGGGATGGCAGGGGAACAATGGCGGAGGAAGGATGGCGAAGGAGGCATGGTTGAGGGAAGGCAGAGAGCTAGTGGAGGAAGGATGGAGGAGGAAGCATTGTGGAAGAGGGATGGCGGAGGAAGGAGGGTGAAGGAGGGATGGCGGAGGAAGGATGGTGAAGGAGGGATGGCGGAGGAAGGATGGTAGAGAGATGGCGGAGGAGGTATGGCGGAGGAAGGATGGCAGAGGAGGTATAGGGGAGGAACCATGGTGGAGGAATAATGGAGGAGGACGGATGGCGGAGGAGGTATGGCAGAAGAAGGATGGTGGAGGAGGGATTTGTGGAAGAAGGATGGCAGAGGAAAGATGGCGGAGGAGGAGTGGGGGAGTAAGGATGGTGCAGGAGGGATGGCGGAGGAGGGATGGCAGAGGAGGGATGACGGAGGAGGGATGGTGCAGGAAGGATGGAGGAGGAAGGATGGAGGAGGAAGGATCGTGAAGGAAAGATGGCGGAGGAGGAATGATGGAGGAGGGATGACGAGGGAGGGATGGTGCAGGAAGGATGGAGGAGGAAGGATGGAGGAGGAAGGATGGTAAAGGAAGGATGGTGAAGGAAAGATGGTGGAGGAGGAATGACGGAGGAGGGATGACGGAGGAGGGATGGTGCAGGAAGGATGGAGGAGGAAGGATGGTAAAGGAAGGATGGTGAAGGAATGACGGAGGAGGGATGACGAGGGAGGGATGGTGCAGGAAGGATGGAGGAGGAAGGATGGAGGAGGAAGGATGGTAAAGGAAGGATGGTGAAGGAAAGATGGTGGAGGAGGAATGACGGAGGAGGGATGACGGAGGAGGGATGGTGCAGGAAGGATGGAGGAGGAAGGATGGAGGAGGAAGGATGGTAAAGGAAGGATGGTGAAGGAAAGATGGTGGAGGAGGAATGACGGAGGAGGGATGACGGAGGAGGGATGGTGCAGGAAGGATGGAGGAGGAAGGATGGAGGAGGAAGGATGGTAAAGGAAGGATGGTGAAGGAAAGATGGTGGAGGAGGAATGACGGAGGAGGGATGACGGAGGAGGGATGGTGCAGGAAGGATGGAGGAGGAAGGATGGAGGAGGAAGGATGGTAAAGGAAGGATGGTGAAGGAAAGATGGTGGAGGAGGAATGACGGAGGAGGGATGACGGAGGAGGGATGGTGCAGGAAGGATGGAGGAGGAAGGATGGAGGAGGAAGGATGGTAAAGGAAGGATGGTGAAGGAAAGATGGTGGAGGAGGAATGACGGAGGAGGGATGACGGAGGAGGGATGGTGCAGGAAGGATGGAGGAGGAAGGATGGAGGAGGAAGGATGGTGAAGGAAGGATGGTGAAGGAAAGATGGTGGAGGAGGAATGACGGAGGAGGGATGACGGAGGAGGGATGGTGCAGGAAGGATGGAGGAGGAAGGATGGAGGAGGAAGGATGGTGAAGGAAAGATGGTGGAGGAGGAATGACGGAGGAGGGATGACGGAGGAGGGATGGTGCAGGAAGGATGGAGGAGGAAGGATGGAGGAGGAAGGATGGTGAAGGAAAGATGGTGGAGGAGGAATGACGGAGGAGGGATGACGGAGGAGGGATGGTGCAGGAAGGATGGAGGAGGAAGGATGGAGGAGGAAGGATGGTGAAGGAAAGATGGTGGAGGAGGAATGACGGAGGAGGGATGACGGAGGAGGGATGGTGCAGGAAGGATGGAGGAGGAAGGATGGAGGAGGAAGGATGGTGAAGGAAAGATGGTGGAGGAGGAATGACGGAGGAGGGATGACGGAGGAGGGATGGTGCAGGAAGGATGGAGGAGGAAGGATGGAGGAGGAAGGATGGTAAAGGAAGGATGGTGAAGGAAAGATGGTGGAGGAGGAATGACGGAGGAGGGATGACGGAGGAGGGATGGTGCAGGAAGGATGGAGGAGGAAGGATGGAGGAGGAAGGATGGTAAAGGAAGGATGGTGAAGGAAAGATGGTGGAGGAGGAATGACGGAGGAGGGATGACGGAGGAGGGATGGTGCAGGAAGGATGGAGGAGGAAGGATGGAGGAGGAAGGATGGTAAAGGAAGGATGGTGAAGGAAAGATGGTGGAGGAGGAATGACGGAGGAGGGATGACGGAGGAGGGATGGTGCAGGAAGGATGGAGGAGGAAGGATGGAGGAGGAAGGATGGTAAAGGAAGGATGGTGAAGGAAAGATGGTGGAGGAGGAATGACGGAGGAGGGATGACGGAGGAGGGATGGTGCAGGAAGGATGGAGGAGGAAGGATGGAGGAGGAAGGATGGTAAAGGAAGGATGGTGAAGGAAAGATGGTGGAGGAGGAATGACGGAGGAGGGATGACGGAGGAGGGATGGTGCAGGAAGGATGGAGGAGGAAGGATGGAGGAGGAAGGATGGTAAAGGAAGGATGGTGAAGGAAAGATGGTGGAGGAGGAATGACGGAGGAGGGATGACGGAGGAGGGATGGTGCAGGAAGGATGGAGGAGGAAGGATGGAGGAGGAAGGATGGTAAAGGAAGGATGGTGAAGGAAAGATGGTGGAGGAGGAATGACGGAGGAGGGATGACGGAGGAGGGATGGTGCAGGAAGGATGGAGGAGGAAGGATGGAGGAGGAAGGATGGTAAAGGAAGGATGGTGAAGGAAAGATGGTGGAGGAGGAATGACGGAGGAGGGATGACGAGGGAGGGATGGTGCAGGAAGGATGGAGGAGGAAGGATGGAGGAGGAAGGTTGTAAAGGAAGGATGGTGAAGGAAAGATGGTGGAGGAGGAATGACGGAGGAGGGATGACGGAGGAGGGATGGTGCAGGAAGGATGGAGGAGGAAGGATGGTAAAGGAAGGATGGTGAAGGAAAGATGGCGGAGGAGGAATGACGGAGGAGGGATGACGGAGGAGGGATGGTGCAGGAAGGATGGAGGAGGAAGGATGGTAAAGGAAGGATGGTGAAGGAAAGATGGCGGAGGAGGAATGACGGAGGAGGGATGACGGAGGAGGGATGGTGCAGGAAGGATGGAGGAGGAAGGATGGTAAAGGAAGGATGGTGAAGGAAAGATGGCGGAGGAGGAATGACGGAGGAGGGATGACGGAGGAGGGATGGTGCAGGAAGGATGGAGGAGGAAGGATGGTAAAGGAAGGATGGTGAAGGAAAGATGGCGGAGGAGGAATGACGGAGGAGGGATGACGGAGGAGGGATGGTGCAGGAAGGATGGAGGAGGAAGGATGGTAAAGGAAGGATGGTGAAGGAAAGATGGCGGAGGAGGAATGACGGAGGAGGGATGACGGAGGAGGGATGGTGCAGGAAGGATGGAGGAGGAAGGATGGAGGAGGAAGGATGGAGGAGGAAGGATGGCTTAGGGCCAAGTCAGACTAGCAATTCTAATCCACGATATCGCAAGCACATGAGATGTGAAGACACTATATTGTCACCAACAGTAAGCCACATTTCAAGGCCATTATGGATCTCTTCCCCAGTTGATTCTGTCAGAAATCCAGTGAGCCTCTACCTTCCTGTGCACTCTGCAGTGTTATCGGCCCTGCCCAGTTCTCTTTGGTGGACTACAGAAGACTTCCCACCCTATATTATGGAGAAGAGGACAGTGAGAGAGGTGTTCTGTAGTCAAGTCCAAGGGTGACAAAGCGGATCCTCCATAGATATAGTGCAGTGAGTGACACCCCAGGACAGGAAGTGTGTTACTGGCAGGATCACCAGGGGAAAATAAAGGAAAACAAATCCCAGCCGCCACATCTAAGGACCGGTAAGCTGCACTATATGACATTTTCATTCCTGGGTTTTAGATACACTATGAGTACACAGTATGACACGGCAGCTCCTACCTGAAGGACATGGTGAACCACACAGCCATCATCATGAGGGTGATCCGGCGATACTCTGGAGCAAAGCACTGGTGGAAGTTAGCCCAGACCTATTGGAATGGAAATAGGAGAGCGGTTAGGAGCTTGTATTTCAGCATTTCTGTATATAACATTGTAAAAGATGCTTTACACATCACACGAAGAACAACCAAGAGTGAAAGTCATGAAAGAGGACCTGTAATGATGGAAAAATCCTATACTTAGAGTCCATCGAGGGACACAGGAAGTCTTTCATATTTGGGTTATAATGCCACCTACAGGAGACCTGAACACCGGCAAACAACAAACTGTATGCCAGTCCAGGATAACCTCTCCTACAACCCGCATGGCTCATAGTCCTGTGAAGTAGATGAGAAAGGGGTTTCAGGGGAGGCATAGATCAAGGTGTATTGGTCCCACAGAGCCACCAGAGTATCCACTGCTTCCTCTACAGTATCCCTGTGCATGGAGACAGTTTGTTGTCGAACCTGGAGGCCAGGAGGCCCACATCCGCCCTACCCCGCCTGCGACACAGGTCCTGGAACACCTCCAGGTGCACTGACCACTCCTCCAAGTTCAGGTGCTGATGGTTGGGCAAATCTACCGGCCAATTGTCTACACATGGAATGCACACGGTGGACGAGGCTGGGACAGAAGGTTCTGCCCAGGACAGGATCTGATCTACTTCTCTTGCAATGGAGAGACTGCTAGTTCCTTCCTAATGATTGATGTATGCCACCACATGGTCGTTGTCTAGATTATTCTGGATAAGGTGACCAATAGGATGGTCCATCGCTGTAGAGAAAGCCAAGTCATCCGAAGTTCCAGGATGTTGATTGGGAGACGAGACCAAATTCCCTGCACTGGCACGTTGTCAAGCAGTTCCTCCCCAGTCCGACAGGCTGGTATTGGTCGTAAGGATCTTCCAAAAGATTTCAAGTAAGTACTTCCCTGAATCTAGAGCAGGATTCCCAAGCCATTGGAAGTTCAAGCCACCAAGGTCCCTGGTGACCGGTACATGAGTCTGTCCGGAGACCGGATCTACTCCTCCCATAAGGACAGAATGTTGCATTGCCGTGGTCTGGAGTGAACTTGGGCAGAAGGTACGGCCTCAAAGGAGGTCGCCACCAGGGCTAGGACTCTCATCAGCAAGATCAGACAGTTGGTTGACTTGTTGAGACTGAAGTTTCTCCTGTGGAGGAACACTCTGGCATGAGCTGTTGTCAGGATCCAGAGCACCCCCAGGTGGCCTGAAGACGGGTCCTGCAGTTCCTGTGCTCGCCTGCGGGTGTCTCCAGCAGCCAGGAACTGTAAGGAACCTGCAGCTCCGGTACTCACCTGCGGGTGTGCCCCAGCTGTGACTGCTCATCCCATCACCTGGTGCTTCCTGGGAGGGTATTTAGGCCCTCCCTGCAGTCAGGAAGCTGGGTCAGTATTGTGTTGCTAACCTGACTGATGCCCTTGCTCCCTGAACCTTGCTCCCTATCTGAAAACCTGTTGTCGACCCAGCTTGCACCTGACCACTCTTCATCAATCCTGTTCCTGTACCGTGCTGCCCTCCTGTTAACGACTCGGCTTGTACCTGACCACTCTTCTGGTATCCCGAGGCCTGCTGTACATCTGCAGGCCTGTTACCCCTCTTTGTTGGGTTTGTAGTTTTGTTGATGTGGAACCAATAAACTGTGCATATAACCCTATCCTGTGTGGGCATATTAATTTGGTCATCCTGTGTGGGTACCTGCATGTGGTGTGAGAACGCCTGTGCAGGGTACCCTGACAGCTGTGTCCAAGACAAGACCCAGTGTCAGGAACCGGATCTGAACCCGGGGCCTCTTCTGTCGCTGGCGGTGGTCCTACCGGCTGAGCCACCTTAGAACCTTGGATAGCTCCTTGCCGGATCTCCTGTGTAATCCGCAGGTAAACCTAATTTCTGCTGAACTCTGAACTCCTTGCTCCTCCCTTGAACTTCCTATTTTAGCCACGCCTCTGCACTTCCTGTTTGCCAAATTATTTTGCTCCTGCCATTATCTTGTTCCTGCTCCCTGTGATACAATCCGCTCATACTGCTACCCGTGTTCCGACCTTTGGCTGCTGATTCACCGACTACTCTCACCGTCTTCTGCTTCATACCTGATACCTTTGGCTGCTGACCTCGGCTTGTTCGCTGACTACGCTTCTGCCTGCTCCTATACTACTCCCCTCTGCTTGTGTACCCAACCCGGCCTGTTATACCACGAATGTGCCCGCTGCTTCAGCTACTGGACTCCGAACCTGATCCCGGATCGTGACACCCAGTTACCCCAAACAATGAGTTGGTTCCAGCGACTATTTCTGAAGGTTCAGGATCCATCCGCACCAATGTAACATAGTCAAGGACAGAGCCGGCATCCACTGTCCCCCTAACAAAAGGTCATCAACGTATGCCACGAGAGCACAGTAGGGCTGGCAATGGCTAATACCCAAGGTTGAGATGAGAGCAGTGGCGTAACAATCACCATAGCGACCCAGGCGGCCGCTATGGGGCCCGGCCAGGACATCTCCCTGATGCCATGCGGGCCGCCTGGGTCGCTATGGCCTCTGGCTCGGACAGCCAGGCTGCTGGCTGTCACTGGCGGCTGTGAGGAGGAACGCTCCGTTCCTTTTCACAGCCGCTGCTGAGTTGGTGACAACCAGCAGCTTCGCACGAGGTGGCTGGGCCCGTCATCGGCGGCGATCGAGGAGGCGGGGCCCGGCGATCGAGGAGGCGGGGCCCAGTGACGGAGGAGTCGATCGTGGAGGAGAAGGAGGCGGACAGAGGATCAGGGCTGACAGGTAAGAGGGCTTGACCGCCCGCCTGAGACCCTGCAGAGCCCACCATAGAGAGTCTATGGTGGGCTCTGCAGGGTCACCCTTAGGTGGGCTGTTTGGGTTATCAGGTGGGCGTAACTAGAAATCACAGGGCCCCCATACAAAATTTTGCTACGGGGCCCTGTGATTTCAAGTTACGCCCCTGGATGAGAGGCCAAAGGCAGGGCAAAAAATGGATAGTGCGAGGGCCCCACACCAAAGCGTAGGAATCACTAATGTGCTGGAAAGATGGGGGCAAGAAGAAAGGAATCCTTGATGTCCACAGAAGCCACAGAATCTCCCCGGTGAAAGGAGGTGATGACAGATTTGGTGGAACCCATGCAGAATTCCTGGACGAAGAGCTTTGAGATCCACACTGGGGGCAGATGCTCCCTTTGGGTTTGGGAATAGTGTACGGGTTGGAGTAACAAGATCGTTCTGGGCAATGATACCTCAATCCAGAAGACCTGGGAGGGTGTAATGTAGAACAGCGCTCGAGAACGAGCTTCTATTCCAACTCTTATCAGTTGGGTCCTTGAAAACAGATGCATCCTCCACTGGTATAGTAGGACGGGACGTGGCTCAAGCACACAAAATGGCCGCCGTTACGCTCCGGCACTCTGTGATATGAACCATGACGTGGGGGACACTTGGCACAGGTGACCTCGAAAGCTTCAAGCTGGCTCTCTATTGATTTCATGGCTCTACCTGTTGCGACAAATTGAGGATTCGAATCAACCATCGGCTGTACCACTTTCCCGTCTCTGCCTGGATCTCGATCAGCTCGTCATCGGATTTTATGGTCTTGATTTGCGTGACCTGAAAATACAGCAAAACAATTAACAAGAAAAACTCTGATAAGTCACATTCCCATGTAAAATATTCCCCCCCCCCCCCACCACCACCCCCTCAGAACTTCCGACATCAGAACTGCTGACATCATATCCATGGCTTTGAGCTGACGGTACATGAGTAAGATGTCCCCTTGAAATAATCTGCTGATACCATTTTGTGGTGACAGACCCGAGAATGACTCGGCAGTTACATGAGCTAGATGCTTCATCCAAATGAAATCAGCCCTGGGACCATGTTCTCCGATCAGCCAGACAGGCTCCATATTTAGCATAGTCCATCTGTAATCTCTTTCACTACCCCGAAGACCAGGAAAGACATCGCGCTTCCACCTTGTCTCCACGCCGCCTGAGCAGCTGCCGGAAACGCTAAGCGCTTTAATTACCGCCGCTCGCGAGCCGTGCCAAAAGTCTGACGGGCCCGATGACCCATCCATGATGTGCTAACAGCTTGTGACTGAATTGTGATAGAGCGGTGTGAGCAAGGCGGATACTTACGGAGAAGACCCTCTCTGGGTGACCTTTGGCCCTCATGTTGGTGTCATGGACTTGTTTGAGAACCATCCAGGCCTCGTCGTGCTTTCCGTTCTGGAAGGAGAGAAGTTGGATATTCGTGTTAGTGGAGGGAAGTACGGGTAAGCAGATGACAACCCAGTACAAAGAGAAGGAACCCAAAGCAATGGACTTCATATATATGTCATACAACAGAGTCTTTACAAGGCCGTCTCCACAAATAGAGAGGTCTCATGCTGGCCACACAACAAATAGAGAGGTCTCATGCTGGCCACACAACAAATAGAGAGGTCTCATGCTGGCCACACAACAAATAGAGATTGACTTCCTTACCTCCAAGAAGAAGCGAGGACTTTCTGGCATTATGGTCAGCGCTCCGATGGCGAACACAGAAGGAAAAGCGCAGACCAGCACGAACACCCTCCAGCTATGGAACTGATAGGCCGATCCCATCTGGAAGCTCCACCCTTGAAGAGCAAACAAAGTGTACCCGTTATAGCTTTATTTATAAAAAAAACCAAAAACATCCTTCAATAAACCCATCGCTTGCTGGTTTTAGGGGGCTTTTTTTTGTAGTCCTTTGCGGCATTTATGACCGATCCCGTCCACGGCTCAGAACCAGCACATCTCTGGTACTGCTGCTCGGTCCAGACAACACTCTTTAGGTCTCAGTTGAAAACAGATACGTTAAGCCCCC